ACTACATTATTGTACACCAATACTAAATTATAATAAATTATTTGATTTTCAAGAAATCTTGATCATCACCTCTTTTATTTAAAATCCACGAGATGTATTTTATTACTCTTATACAAACTACGAATACTTAAAACAAAAGCTAATACGATTGCACTTAAAAGTTTTCAAAATACTACAAGTGATGGTAGACGTGTATAACATAATAAAGTCGCTGTAATTTTCATACGTATGCACATACGGATTGTATGTATACGGGTTATTAAAAATAAAAGATTAGAATAACTTTAATTAAAATGCATGTCCGCGATAGACCATATAAACTGCAGAGAATGGTATAACTTAGTACAACTCCTAGGTCCGGCTATAGTTGTCTAATCATAATTGTATATAATAATGTATCGTAGTTGATAGACAATGATTGAATCAGACTATAGACTTATCAATTTTCGTTATATTTGTATAATGACAAGGTACAATATCGTAGTGGTCGAGCAATTGCCCCACTATGACTAGTGACTCTTGGCATGTAAACCGCTACAGACACTGCGCCTCGAACATTGGGATAGATATAAACAAAGAAGAAGTTCCTCGCGACAGATTGAAAAACAACGATGACCTACAAGTGAGTTGCAATGACACAATGGTTCTCAACGCCGGTAAATCATACATGACCGAATAATAGACATTAGACTTATGCGCATGTAACGCAAAAAACGAAAACTTTTTTAATGATAAAATCAAAAGATCGAAATTACACATAATATAACTACGTCATTAACCGATTTCTAAAGCGCAAACAATACACCGACTTGCACCGTCGTTATAACAACATATAATATACCATAATTAAAACCATTATAATGTTTGGTGAATAGTGATTAGCTATAATAAGCGCATAAACGTTTACCATACAACGTTTATTTTGATTTTGTTATTGTTTTAAACCGATTGTCGTTGTAATATTAGTTAGTCGAAAAAACGCGTCAACGCTGAAACGCTTTTTCACCGGAGAAAGGACGGAGAGCAAGAGGAAACAGTTTTTATCCAGTCAAAATGCAATGACGGGAGCGTGGCAGTTGCACTTAAAAGTAGAAATCTCTAAAATTGCCTCTATAGTTCGGAAACGGTTTCCGGTTTTAATAACATTAAGGGGCTGTTGTCTCCGTGAAACATTTCTATTAACTTCGTTTCGTATAAATGAATTGGCATTAGACAAAGTAATTTATGTGCCACGCCCCACCGACGACAAATACAGCAGCAGCGGATAATAATTAGATAACAGCTGACTGCTGAGGGAGAAAAAAATCTTACATACGCCATGGTAGTGTAATAGTAGGTCAAGGAGAATACTACCGCCACCGCTCAGATACGCTCGAAGAAAATTCTACTGTGATTTCGTGTCGGAAAAATGTTTTGATAGCCGACTAGAAATACCTTACACAGTTACACATAACACACCGTATACAGAGTAGTTGTAAATTGTTAAATAAACATATTGAATTTGTTGATGCGAGTTCTCCACATTAACTATTTAAAGATATCATTGTGGCAATAGTATTAGTGTATAAGTAATAGTAATAATAATAATGATTTAAAGAAAACACAAACATCTACTATTAAGGTTACTTCAATGCACAGAGTTCGTTGCAATGTCTCGAACAATGCGGTTTATGTATAATAATCATTAATGTTGCGTAATGTATTTAGGTCGACACAATATTATACAAATAATAATAATACACTTTCCTGCCGCCTGCGCGCCCAATGAAGTATATTACGTTGAAGACAGATTAAATCCATTATTGAAATATTATTCAACTAAAAGCAATTAATTTAAAGAATAAATTTCTAACCTAACTACGCAAATGGGGATATAAAATACAAGTTAAAAAAGGACGTTTTGGAAACAATACATTATATTTCAATTAACAACCATGGACCATTACGTACTAACTTCTGTTAGTCCACGCATCAGTACATTATAATGAGTCCAAGGTATAGAATAAGGTCGTACAACATCAAATTTCGAATATTGTTATTATTACATTATGACAACAAATTATTTTTATCGCCTTTACGGACTAACTTAAGTATTTTAAAATAAAAAATATCATGAGCAGACGATGTACAGCATCGATTAAAAGCGTACAACACCGAAAAATTAAATAACTTCTGAATAAATAGGATCTTTGTATTAATTCATATACATATAAAATAGAAGAAGAAAACTCGTTCACATTTACCACAAACTAGGATTACATTTTTTCAGCGTAAGCCTTATAATTTTCGTTCAGAACGTAATGGGTCTGATTTCGAATTACTACTGCAGTGTGTATAATGTATAACTATATACGTATAACTTCAAACATGTGGCACGGCAACGGCGGCAGTAATATGGTGCAGGAGCGAGTACGGCAGATCGGAGATACATAGTATTTTATTATATATAAATATATAATATACCTACCTATACGATATGCCGATGTGATTGGGAATCGACTTTACTGTCTTTGTAAACGAGTGGAACGTGTGCGGGATGACAAAATAACTTTCGTCGTCATAGTCTTATACTCGTATATGGCCAAAAGAAAGAAAGAGAGAGATAGAGAAGAATTCGAAACATTATTGCTTATAAAAAAAAGAAGGAAAAATAACCGGGGAAGGAAAAGAACAAATATAAATGTGTGTACCTATTTAAATCGAAAAGATCGCGAGCTCCGCGTGACACTGAATACATTTTATCCGGCGCACGGTCTGTGCGACTATATAGGTACTATATATTATAACTACTCGTCGCAGACTGCGGCAATGTTTTATTTTATACATACAAATAATAATAATAATAATAATAATAATAATAATATGAGCAAGACTATGCAGGCAGGTATGTATATAGTGGTTGCGGGTAGGGTCGTCGAAGGGGATTTCATTATAAAACGCACAATCGGCCAGTCAGCTGTTTATCGAACGTATATAATATTATATTACTATTACGACCAGATTCGTACCGGCGGTGTACAGATAAATAAAACTATCCTGAGTATACCTCGGGGTATAATGTCCGTATATATAAAGGAGCACGCGTATATTTATTTAAAATCACAAAATAAGAATTTCGCTCAAAAGAAAGGATAAAATATGTATACGTCGATGAATATCTAACGCCACCCTCGACATTACTACGGTAAATAAAACAATATTCGAGCACAACCCTATCACCACCCCCAAACCCTCTCTCACCATAGTCAACCGGTTGTTGTGTGTTTTAGGGCCTATAATATAGGCTATACATGAATTGTATTTCTTTGAACCCTGCAGCAGCATATATATATTATTTGTTTATAGCACATAGCCGTCTCGTTTTTGTGTAACCCTATCCAACACAACATATTTCATAATAACATGTACCTATTACTTATACATATATCAATATATGTATAGTATCCTTGGGGAGGGGGGGGGTCGTTGTCGTTGTGTCTATAGCACGCCAGTATAGGTCAACGGCCGGCTGAAATCTCGTGGACGGCAATATAGATGAACAAGTAGGTACAAGGGCCACTGCATGCGTTAGTCGCATATATGACTACCTAATACCTATATGACCTATACATTATAATATTAAATATCTCCATATTCTTAAATGTGTTATAATATTATATACATACGAAGTATACATCAGGGCTGGTCAGAAACTAAGTTACACCTATAATTAACTTGTGTCTTACAGTATTAAGACGCATAATACTGAACTCTTATTGAATACCATGTTTATTTTTCAACTATAGGAATCATTTCACAAATAATCGTAATACTCATAGTGAACGAAGTAAAAGAGTTATATAGTTATATGTTATCAATTCCCTAAATATTAAACAATAAATGAATAATATATCTCATACGTTTGATAAAAATAAAAAATATATAATATTTAATATAATACAAATCTTTGTTTGTCTGCACTAGTAGAACGATTATTTTCTTGAATAGGTCTTATAATATTATATAATGTATAACAATTATTACTTCCACAAATCATATTTACACGATAACGTATTTTAAAAAGGAAATTTCAAACAAAACAAATGTAAAAATTATTGTTATTTATGTTTTTAAAATTAACTTTTTTTAGTGTATACCCATTTTTTCGAAGCCTTTGATAACTACAGTACCGAATACGGGGTTAATTATTCATACCGTGGGGACTATTACAGCAAAGTACATAATATATTGTATATACTATGTCTATTGTTTATATATGTATAGAAATTTCGCTGTTCCGTAGAGTTCAGAGTGTTCGCGACCACGAAATATTGCACTATTATTATGCGTAAAAATTCGAAATAATTTGTCGATAAACTATACCGGGCGCACGATTATAATGCTGTGAAATATAAATTAATTTCTTCAAATCGTTCACCTGTAATACGTTTTTTCGGTGAATACAATACGAACACGACGTGTTAATTTCCATTACACGTTATATATTACCCACTATACTACGATCGTGCGGAAAAAGCATCGAAAATGTTTTCCGCAAAAAATGCTAGATTCCATCTCACTTTCTTAACCAAGATTTATATCTTCGTGCAAAATAACTTGAGAAATAGGAAACACCCAAAGTAATAATACAGAAGAAAATATATAGATAATATCCACGCACCGTGTTTTCATTATATATTATATGCACGGTCTAAGAATTAACCAAGGTCCCCTCCTTAAACTTAATATCATAGGGAACCATGTCGTCAGCCACAACACTGGGCAGATCAGAAGCAGTGGCGGTGGGGAGTGGGGACGAAAATATAAGTAAATTGCTCATTTTCTCCGGGCGGCGGAGAAAGGAAATTCCTCGGTTCTTCGCAATATCCGGAAGGCTAGCTAATCTATACCACACCTAGATCAGACGACTGAGTATATTGTATGAATACAATATACATGCTCAGTTGAAGCGACGGTACAAAAATAAAGACACAAAACATAAATTAAAAAGGAGAAATTACCTTTACTGGAGAGCCGAATAGTTCTTTCTTGTCTTTGACATTGTTCTCGGAAACTTGTTGCTGTCTGGACTGCCTTTCTTTCTCACGTTGTTTTTCCCGTTCCATTCTGTAAAAAAATACAAAAAACCATATAAATATTAACTATACTTTGAGCGTCACGTGTAAATTCATTATTATTCAGACGATATTACAAGAGGGAGAAAGGGTTAGAAAAATTATCGTTCTATGTAGTATATAAACTATATGCACGCACATATTGCAAAACGGAAGCAACACCACTGTCAATACTACACACCTGGCAGACTATATATATCACTACATAGTAAAAAGGGATTTACCAGATGGCCAAAGGATTTGCATACGCTAACGGTTGTCCATCACTCAATATAATAACGGACGCACCACGATTCTGCAATATGGAAGGTGGAATATAATAATTTATTCTGTCCAAAACTCGAGATAAATATCACTATATACATGGACGATTGAAAAAATACTCACAGGGTCATAGCTAGGCAACAGAGACCCCCATATTACATACATATATAAGTATTATAGGTAGGGAACATCTGGAACGAGAGACAGGTAATGTTTTTATTGTACGCAAAAGATGAAACCCACAGGTAGTGTAACGAAAAACGCGCCCCCGCGGACCGGCTGCCACACGACAACAGACCTCGGGAGAACGGGAAAATACTTTTTTTTCTTATCCACCGATTAACCCCGACCGCTGCAGCAGCAGCAGCCGCAGCCACAGCCACAGCATCAGCATCAGAACTCGCCAGACGTCCAGACCACTGTCGCTGCCACCGCCTATAGTGGTGGTGGAACCTTTCTTAAATCGGCAGCTGCCGGCGCACTACAGAGAGTGTACACACCTGACACATGCCGTGTACAGATTTCCAGGTGGCATACCTATATATGCGCGTGTATATAATATATACGTGTATATACCCGCCGGATGCCGACGCATAGGAGGGTCAAATCTCGCACACAGTTCGTCGAAACATTACAGCCGTCACGATTGTATACAATCGTGGGATAATTACCAATGAAGTATATGACAATAATTTTGCAAACACATACTATGAACACGACGGCCAACGATACTACACGCGTATTCGTGTGTCAAATACGTCGCGAGTAATATAATACACGCAATATAAACGTATACTTACGAATGTATTCCTGCAGCTTAGTAATACTCGACATCCACATTTATATAATATAATAATAAGTATTTTCACCTAGCGTGAACATAATATGACATATTGTAAATGTTAATATATATATATGGAATAAAAAACTAAAAACATAATATAGAGAGACTTTGATCGTAAATCATAGAATAACGTGCATAAAAAAATAATACCTACAACTACCTACCATGGGGAGAATATCGTTGAATATTAAGTGGCGGAAATAAAAACAGTCCGACATAGTTTTAGCAGTCGTTACTCGTTTAGTTAGTAGCTTTACATATAGACACGGTGTTAAAGGGGTTAGAACGACGACGACGAATGCATACTACATACATATAATAGTATGTATATTGCACACAACACACCGACCACCCTTTTACACTAATCTTCCATTGTTTTAAACGGAAACCCGGAGAACTGCTGTCAAATTACGAGGTCAACAACAACAGCATCTGCAAAGATATCGATTGCGCATGCGCCAACACTGCACAGACATACGTCAATTGGCCATGATACGCGATCGCTGATGACAACCACCAACGACCAGGCCTGTTTCTGGGGCCCAAGCAAAGTCATTCGTTGCTTTAGGGCGGCTTGCAATTTTACAGAAATTGAAGGCGGCAAAATGGAATAAATTAAAATGTCCGCTTTAGGGCGCAATAGATATTTAACGAAAGGCCCACCAACGACGCCATACATCAAGTCGATTTAATTCACGCAAAAATAGGTTCATATTCGTGGGGTGGTGGGGTTTAGTAAAACCATCAGTCCACCGAATGGCAAAATCACTATCGAGTATCCCCAGCCTTCCGTCGATCGGCACTGTGTCAGATAAGCCTACACCTCTCACTCGCTATTTTCACATCTGTCGCCGACGCAGTTCAGCAGTACGTCGTAATATAAATAAATAACGCAAAAAGCTTTTATGTGACTGTATCGATGTTTACTATACATAACATTATACACTAACGACGCAGTACATAGGCACTGTAGCTAGGTCATATTTTTTTAGACAACCACCGACTCCACGACCACCGACGTCGTTTACACCGGTATGTATTATACACCTATAGATGGTACAACATGTGTATAGACCATACTAAATATCGATTGTGCTTTTAATATGCACACAATGTACAAAACCGACCCGAGTGTTGTAAATGTGGAAAAGAGGTGTAGTGCGACGGGTGGTGGACGAAAGTGTCTGTTATATACGGCGGTGATGGTGGCTGTTTTGGCGGCGGTGGAAGAGGCGGTCGACGTGAATACCACCCGAGCGTGGCGCTTGTGTGGGTAATAATTAATGACGAGAATTGGACTTTTATAGAGCGGCGTGTACTGCTAAGCGAAATAATATGTGTGTGTGCACATGAAGCCATAAAGAACTATATACATACAGGCGCCGAGAGAGAACACGAACCCCGAAGACACGGAAAATCAATAGTGGTGTGTGTGTGTGTGTGTATGTGTATGTGTATCCCTCATCGGAGACCGTGTCCAGTACCGAGAGTTTATTTTTTTTTCAAATCAACAGGGGGATTAATACCACTGTATAATAATATCCACGTATACCGTGTGCGCAGCCAACAATTTTTGTTCACCCTAAAATATCGTCGTCGTCGACTATAACGATGACTATGACGTGGTGGCGAACACCCTATATAACACGATTGTTACAGCGAACAGTTTCTATCATATACGCCGCCGAGCCCGGATCTCGATCTCCCTCTATCTCTCTCCTTACCACCCCGCGGAATATGGAACCGTTTACTCAGCTAATAATAATAATAATAATAATAATAATAAAATTTAATATTATATAATAATAATTATTATTATGGTTGTAAAAAAATATTACTCTTATTATTACCAACAGACAATGTTGGGTTTTTATTTTTACGGTCGACGGGAAGAATTAATGTGTTTCGGACGAGACGCGTGCACGATTAAACTTCCTTCACTTTCCGCCTACAACGTTAAACAATGATTTTCTTTAGCAGAGCTTCTCTTGACCATTCGGCCACCGCCCGAGGATCATTTCCACCGATGTATTCTGTTGCTGCGTTTGACAGGCGACGGAAGCACTACAGTGCCCGCGAGTTTTTCGTGTAGTGGTTTAGTGCCCGGATTCATTAGTATTCCAAAACGTTGTCATAACTTACAGCGCAAACCTAATATAAGATCCGGCGTCGGCACGCAAAATAAAAAAAAACAAGAGGCGGATAAGACTTAAGGCGACCGACCGACCGACGGAGTTAATGCTTCAACCAATCGGAGACGGGTTTACGTCGTCGCGTACCTACCACACACAATGATACCGGCGACCGTAGGTACATCGTATTATCGTAAAAGTGATAAATTACCGTTTTCACGATTACAGGATAAGATTGTTGTTATTATTATTATTAATCGTAATCGAATTATTATTGTACGATGAATGTAAAAGTAGTAGCGTAATGCGAATCGAGCATGCCACTTGGTTGGATGTGACATGAGGAGGAGGGCAAAGAAAAACATCACGACAGAGACAATTATTTTGACGACGCCGGCGGCGGGGCTGTTTAACGGGTGAATTACAATTGGATTATTCGACTTTAACAATTATTATCTCGTCGATAGGCCACTGCCGCCACCGGCTCCGCCGACCGACGCGTTATTGGATCAAACGAATAAGCACGTCATATTACTAAGGTTTACTTTTACATCGGGTGGTTTACTGGTATATAATATATTAATGCTTCAAATTCAATTACGGTCCAGCCTAATATAGTACGGAAAGATTAACACGTCGTTTTCAATTTCTTTCGCGCGTGGACCGGAATGAAAATCTTATTGAGAAATATGATAAGGATACACTGCCATACTGCACAGAAGAATATTTACAGAGTACTTACAAATTATTGAGGTAGGTAGTTTAAAATATAGAACTTTCTTATTAATAGCCGTCGTCAAACCGCTAACACTCGCACAATAATTATTACGCGCACGTAACAACACTATACTGACGGACCGCGGACGGCGGACTGCAGGTGCGACGATTGCGACGACAATACTATTTACGCCATGTAGCCGCCATACCTACTGCAATTATTGTGACAATACCGAGAAAAGATAAAACACGCAAGACCCACGATCGCCGAACGCGCAGTGCAGCCCCCCACGCTCGGCAGCCACGGTGCACACGGCGGTGTTTTTGGAAATAAAAAGAAAAAAAATATCCCAAAGACGGTGTTATATTCTTATACAATATATATATTATTATTATCATTATTCGTCGTCGTCGTCTCTGGAGAACCACGGACGAGGTTTTACCGGTGCGGCAGAGGGAAGAAAACAGATATTATACCATAGTATTAGTACACAGTCGCGCGCGCACACACACTCGCGAGTCGGACGGTGGAGCGAGGCGTGTGCACGACGAGGGGGAGAAGAGCTCCGCTGGCAATGGTCGTTGACCTCTATTGTGGCGGCGTAGTCGTAGTCAACGACGGTTTTTCGTTCGCAGCCACCGAAGCAACAAAGTACGAACATACGACGACGCATCGCCGCCGCGGTCTATCTTTCGCGAGTTACGCCCGTGCAGCGCACGTACGCGCGAAGCTCACTCACTCTTTACCGGTCCCGCACGAGTTTATTCTAGCCGCGAAATAAACGCAACACGATTACGTTTCGTTGGTAATCTTTTTTTTATATTATACCTACCGATGCTATACCGATTTTTATGTTGCATCGCCAAAAACATATTTTTTTCAACCCTCCCGACTACTTCTAGAAACGATAAGCGCGAAATGATAACGTTTTTTTTTCTCCATAATCTAGCCGTTGTTGCTATAAGTTATTACTTAGGCCTACACGATATCACGACGATCACAAAATTGTCTAGGGGAAAACGAATTTGGTTGCG